TAACTTGACATCAAAACATCTAAGGTTCAAGACAGTCGATTTTTGTATTTTTGTCCACCTTCGCGGCACTGTGCGCCGTTATTACTGCCGCTTAATTGCATAGATGCAGTAATTGACAGATGAGCAACAAAGAGGCATAAAAACCGACAGGCACACGTACACATACAAGCACTTGAAGTCGCAACCACACAGCAACATCAAATGCAACTTAAAAGTGTTTGCCAAAGTAATTAACGTAAGTTATACAAATACAGGTTAGAGGAGTTCTTGAGCTACAGATCTACAAAACAAAAACAAACAAAAAAAAGCAAAAACAAAATAATGACAGAATGACCAAGTTTCAGTTATGACAAAGTGATTGTTGCCACCACAACATAAAATTGCTACTAAATAACTGCAACGCAAAAGTCACAGCAAACATTTAAATACAAGCGCATAAGTTGACACACATACATATATACTTTGCCTTCTACTTGCTTTGTATGTATGTATGTAGTAGTATACAAATAACAGCTGCAAAGGCGTTGCAGCTCTAATGAAGACATTTCCAAGAAATATGCGCAATGCAAAGCGGTTGCTTAAAGTTAAATATTTATCTAATGCTTGTAGAGCTTTGACATGCAACGCACGAAAAAATTTGACCTCGTAGCGCAGACAGGCTAAGCTGGCTGGAATTTTTTGTGTGCACTTTTTGACCGACAAGTGACATTGAATAGTTGAGGTCAGCCTACCTGAATGCATATTTTAGTTGAACGCTTGAGAGGGATGTGCCAGAGGGGCGGCCGTTGCGCATATAACTGTCATGGTAGCAACAATTGTGGCAAAACAATCACTCACAGCGAACACACACACACATGCCTCACACACATAAATCTTAAAAAAAAAAGTAAAATAAAAAATAAAAGATAAAAAACACAAATCCATGCAACATTAGTTCATTATCGTTTGCAATTTATATCGTGCCACAGTGAGGTTGCGCCTGCGCGCACACGCAAATGTCAGCTCTATTCAGGCACACACACACACACACACACATGCATGTTTGTACATATTTGGCTAGCTATGCATCTTCGGTTGGCATTCTCAGGTGAACGAAAGTTGCACTCCAGCAACAGCCACAGCCACAGCAGCAGCACCGGCAACTGTAATTGTCTTGCTTCTGAAACACCCGCATGTGTGTACCTTTTTACTGCTGAGGTCACCTCACTGCGGCTAATTGCTTGTGCACGCAAATATCTATTCACATGCTTGCTGGCTGGAACGCATGCGCATCACTCGCATTGTTGCTTTGTTGCACAAAAATAAATTGCTTCTGCTGCTAATTTATTTTCAAATTTCATCTCATTGTGCGCTTCATTGGAAACGCTTGTAGACTTAACAATTTAGTTGCGTGGGTTGGGCGCTAAGTGATTGGCCAATATGATGGGAGCGGTAGCAGAAGCAGCAGCAGTGGCGGCAACAGCAGCAGCTATTGTTGCTATTGCTAACACAGCAGCATATGCTTGAGTTTATCTGCGCGAATCTACGAAGCAATCAACGCTTGTGACAGTTGCGTCAACTCCCAGAGAAAAACTTTGAACTCTTCCTAAGCTGGAAAAGTAATTGTCAGTGAGAAAATGCGGTTAATGTGGTACATATACATATATACTTACTTATACCTTCATACTAGGGATGTTAATTTTTCAGCTTTTTCCGATTCCGGGATTTTCGGGATGTCGTTATCACAATCCCGGGATCCCGGGATTAGTCCCGGGATTTAGAAACTTATTACTTTTCTATTCAACAATTTATATTGAGCTCGAGGCCGTTTTAAATGAAAATTTTTTATTGTGGAAAAGCAACAATAATTTGAAAAAATGGTAGAAGTGATAGCTATTTCGGAAATCACCACATTTCCTCATCAGACTTCTTTCAGTAGGATTCGAACCGACGATCCCACTGACTCAGCCAGTTGCCTATGCACCGTGCTAAGTACGCCTTGTAAATTATCGTTTGCTTTTTTCCACTATTTTCATTTTTGTTATGCCAACACAATCAAGCGCAGCTATTCCGCTGCAATTCACTTGATCATGTGGTTGTTAGTATTGTTGGTTTTTTGCTAATAATTCTTATTACTTTTCTACAACTTAAATCGAAAATAAATGGGTTTGAAACTTACTTTTTTATTTAAAGTGGCGTTTTTATTCTTTCTCTCTGACGTCAGGATTTATTTTAAAGGACTTTGTACATTCAAAGATATGATTCATTCCAAAAATTATTTGAAAAATTCAATGCAATGTAGAATAAAAATATGGGTACCAAATGCAAGAGGAAATTTCTTTAGAATTTAAAAAAAAAAAAATTTTTTTGTGGTCACAAGGACGAATAGGTAATTTTTTAAGCTGATTAAGTTAGAAAGACGAAATTGGAGGATATTATCGAGTTTATATAAGTGCTTAACATATATATATATATTTTTTTTTCAAAAACAAATATTGCGAAATTTTAAGGATAAAGTTTTAAAACGACATTTCAATACTTACCAGTCCTTCTGCGCCAGAAACTTGAATCGGTTTAAGTTCTAAAGGACTTATTCTTTAATTTGATACCCATAATTCTTCTCTTACCACATTTCTCTGAATTTTTTAAATCATTTTAGAGCTACTGACGTCAGAGTGAAAAACTAAAAACGCAATCTTGCTATATTTGGCCCATGGTTTCGCGAATATATTGATATTTGTGTTTAAAATTTACTATCGCGCGGTGCTGTGCATATGTATTAAAAGCCAGATATTTATAAAAAAATATTAGTTATGAAATAAAAAAAGAAATACAACCAATACTGCCCGAAAAACCCGGGATTATGTGCCTAGAATACCGGGATTTTTGGTACCCTAAAAAGGGCGCAATCCCGGGATTAGCATTCCTGCTACATACTTGCATTTGTATGAAAATACTACATAGAACTAAGCAATTATGTATTCCGTTATTTCATTTCTTAATAATAGAGGC